AGATGTAATAATATAGAGGCATACAATCTCTACTACTGCTCTGTTAATGGTTTTGGTGATTAGAATTGCTTTCATATTTTAATAACTACATATTGTAATACTTTATGTGGATGAGACATGTTGTGATTGTAATATGTAGATAAGACATGTAATGATTGTAATATTTTAAAGTTTCAAACTTTCTTTCTTTGGATGAGGCATGCAGTCAGTGGCGGAGCTAGGAATTTAATGTAGGAGGGGCACTTATTAATTATAATATCAAAATTTTTATGCGACTTTATTTTGTGGAAGAATAATTATAATCTTCTTCTTGAGGAAGAGATGATTTTAATTTTGATTTTCTTTTGAAATATTTCTCCATGACTGTTTTAAAAAATAAAAATTCATAATCAAAATCACAAACCCCCACAAATGAAAATCTCTAATTTTAATAGAAATCAAAAAATTTAAATTTAGCACAAATCACAACAAATAAAATTTAAAATATACCAATATTATAACAAATGAAAGTCCTTAATTTAAATAACAATTACTAGAAATTAATATTCCATCGGTCCCAAAATAATGGTCCCTTTTGGGGAATCTAATTTTTTTTTGGTAGTATAATTATTGCACTTTAAAAAAATTAATTTTTCAAAATTACCCTTTGATATTACATTTTTTGGGGAATGTCAATGTCATAATTGTACTTTTTATGTTGTTCATGAATTTGAAAGAAGGACAAAATAGAAATGTTATATTATTTTTGTACTTGATTTTTGAAAATAGACTAATATTTTAGGACATTGGAAAATGGAATAGGAGATTAATATTTTGGGACGGATGAAATATTTTTAATTGTAGCACAAATCAAATCCCTAATTTTAGCACAAACAGTAACAAACCAAAATCCTTACTTTTAATATAAATCGCTACCAATTAAGATTCATAGTTTTAACATATCAAAATCTCTTATTTTAACATAAATAATAACAAATGAAAATTTTTTACAAATCAAAACTTAGCAAATAACTATAAATTAATACTCATAATTTTTATTTAAAAATAAAAAATTATAAATACAGTTACCTGTAAACAATAAAGATAATATATCAAGGTTGTAGTGTGATTCTAAATCTGTATTATGTGATCCTAATATGGTGAATCGCGTGTTGATAAATTGTAAAGTAACAAAGAGAGATAATAATAAAAAAAATCTTTGCTATCGTTTTCCCATGAATAAAAAAATAAAAAATAATAATAATTGGATTGAAGGTGTGTTTGGGTGTGTGTTAGTGTGCTTAGAAATTGGGTGCATGTGTGCGTGTGTCAATAGTTAAAGTGTGCTGCCAAATGGATTGCTATGTATTATGCATATAAGGCACTTACATGTAAGCTCAAAAAACAAACAAAAAAAACAAAAAAATTGAAAAGTGAGGGGGCACGTGACCCCTGCCCCAACATCCCTTTTTTTAAATCATTGATTATAATATTTTTTATTTTTTGAGAAAGTGCATACGGTGTGTTTGGGTGTGTGTTAGTGTGCTTAGAAATTGGGTGCATGTGTGCGTGTGTCAATAGTTAAAGTGTGCTGCCAAATGGATTGCTATGTATTATGCATATAAAGCACTACATGTAAGCTCAAAACACAAAAAAAAAAAAAACAAAAACATTGAAAAGTGAGGGGGCACGTGACCCCCTGCCCCAACATCCCCGTCTCTGCATACGGTGATTGTAATATTTTTTTAAATCATTGATTATAATAATTTTTATTTTTTATTTTTTGAGAAAGTGCACAAATTGAATTCTATTGAAAATTTATAAAATTTTAAACTGCCAAACCGATTCGCATGCATCCACTAATCTGCCAATCCGCTCAATCCACATCCGCTGGATTGGCGGACGAATGCGGATTGATTTTCTCCAATCCGTCAATCTGGCAAACGGATGGCGGATTAGAGATTCCGTGGCTGCAATCAACCCGCGCCTACCCCTAATCACAATTGAAAAGTTAAGGACAAAAGTGACACAAGACTCAAATTATAAAGACTATTTGTGTAATTCGCCTTTATAAAAATGTATAACAATACAACAAAATAGGTACTTTATTTTCGAACCACAAATTATAATAATTTCTATAAAAAATATGTAATATTTATCATAAAAATATAAAATTTATCATAAAAATACATAAAAAGTGCATATGATGTATGCATAATAATAGTGTTTCCTTCAAAAATTGAGTAATATTAGAGACTCTAAAAGTCTCACCAAATTTTCAATCAAATATTTCACATGAATATAGAACTGACATAAGATCTACATTGTGTGAATTCCATATCTAAATAAAATATTTGATAAAAAGAATTTAGGTTACGGTTGGTTTAGTTTTAGAATTGTAATTCTCTTTTTTTGAGTTATGATTTGATTGTGAAATTGTAAGTTGAGTTTTAAAAAAAGAAAATTTATTTAGTTATGATTTTTGAAAAATATTTTTGAATTTTAAATTATGAAAAGAGAGGATTGGGTCTATCCGGTTGTTCACCCGACGTCTGGTCGGTTGACTGGGATAATACATTTTTTTTTAAAATTGCAACCTGTTATTTGAATATATATATATATATATATTTGTTTTAGATATTTTTTAAATATGAAAATTATTTTTTAATTTCTTTTTATAAAATAATTTAACATTCATGTTACTAATCATTTTTAGCACTATATCAGTAAAAGAGTTTTGAATTGAGTGTTTAATTATAAATTTTGAATTGAGCTTTAAAAATTTACCTTTAAAATTATGATTCTAAAGATAAATCAAACATAGGCCTTATTTGGTAGGGCTTATTTCTAACTTATTTCAGCTTTTAGTTTAATTTAAGCTAGTTTGATTTGTTTAATTCAGCTTAACAATACAACTTATACATTTTTTAAGTCAAAAATCAACTTATTCTTTGAGTGGAGGAGGAAAAACTTAATTTATAAGTCAAAAATCAACTTATATTCACAGTTATAAGTTATAAATTGTTAAGATATAAGTTATAATCATTTTTTCACAATTTTATTAAATGGGGCATAACCTTAATAAAATTTTTAAAATTTTTAATATTTTTTTATAAAAAATTAGAGCCACAGACTTCCATTCCCTGACATAATTGCTGGGTTTGAATAAACCAGAATAGCCAACAGAAACAATTGTAACCATCACGATTGCATTGTATACACACACGCACAAATCATAGATAAACATCAAAGTCTAGAACAATTATTCCTTGGTTTGGAGTCACATGTTGATGTCTTAGAATTGTTTTGAGAAATTAGTTAAGAGTTAAGTTTTTAATTTTTTTTTTAAAATATAAAAAAAAATAAAGAAATAATATAATTAAAATAAGTTAAAAGTTAATTTTTACCTTTTAATCAAGTTCTCAAATTAAGCCTTAACCAATCAAAAATTATCAATTTTTTTATTTTTTAATTAATTAACATAAAATTATAAAGATTAATATTAATATATTTATCAAATACTTCACATGATTATGAGATTATATGAGACATACATGATTTGTGAGAAATTTAATAAAAATAATAATAAATATTTAACATTTTTGATTTCTAAATCTCACTTTATCAATCACAACAAATATAAAACGCAACATGATCATACTCTAAATGTCTGTTTGGTAAAGTTTACGTTTTTAATTTATATTTACAAAAATTTTATAAATTGATTTTTGTTTATTTTTAGAAAAACATAAACTACAAACGCGTTTGGTAATTGATAAAATGTATAAAAAAATTTAAAAATATAAAAAAGAGTGAGAAATGGCAAGTAGTGGCAAATGGCGGCGGAAGACGGTAGTAGAAAGTGGTGACGGTGGGTGGAGGGTTGACGGTGGCGGGTGGTAGCGAGTGGGTAGTGGTGGTGAGTGGATGGGTGACGGTGTCGTGTGGTGGGTGGTAGCAAGTGGGTGGTGACAAAACCAAGCTAAAACCACCTTTATGATATCAGATGACCTTATTATCATATTTTGTTTACAACACAATGATACTAACACACTTGTTTTTGAATTTATGTACCTATATCACATGAATGTTATTAATATTTAACAAATATAAAAGTGTATCACAAAAAAAATAATAAACAAAATCTTATTAAAAGAAAGAAATAATTATGACACATCAACATTTTGTGATAAACAAATGTCTAAATTTGCCCCACTACTCACACTTACCAATATTTTTCAAGTTCAGTATGTACAAGAATTAACATAAAAAATTCAGTAACACTACAAATGAAGAAAACTTGGTACATAGGGTGCATGGTGGTAGCGAGTGGGTGGCAAGTGGGTGGTGGGTGGCTAGTGGGTGGTAGTGGCGGCTGGTGGTGGCAGGTGGGTGGTGAGTGGTGGTGGCAGGTGATGGTGGGGGGTGGGTGGTGGTGGCGGAAGAGGGTGGTGGAAAATGGTGGTGGGTGGTGGCTAGTGTTGGGTGGTAAAAAAAAAAAAAACTCAAAACTCAAAATGGAAACACATTTTTTGAGTTTACATTTTTTGGCCAAATTTATAAACTGAGACCATTGATTTATAAATCAAAAATTTACCAAATAAATTTTTATTTGAGTTTTTTAAATTTTGTAAATATAAACAAAAAAATTGAAAATATAAATGTTACTAAAGCCTTGTTTGTCATCTACTATATAATCCATCTTTTTATCTTTTTATCTTTTTTCCATCACATCACCTCTCTACTTTTCTGCACATCTTTTCGTAAAAAGACAAAAAGTGCACTTTTTTAGTACACCCCAAACCAACCCTAAATGACACTTAAATATTCTTAAAATATCACGTGTTTGTATTTTATAATTAATTATTATTTAATACGATTTCTCATATTTCCAAAATACTAAAATTACTGAATAAATATCTCGCCCAACAGATTTCTAGATCCTTCCACAACTTGCCCTGTGGAGCCCCCTTCTCTCTCTTCCATTATATTCCAAGTCCAGTCCCACCTTGCGAAACCCAATATTGTTACGGTACTTCTTGTTAGCTGGCACACACTTTCTCTCTCTAAATTCAACCCCACTTCTCTCTCTCTATCTCTAGAATAGAATTCCCATCTCTCCATGGCCTCTGCAACAGAGCTGAATGAACCATCTTTGCTAGAACGTTTAATAAGTTCAAGAAACAGAGATCTGTCTCTGTTCTTGCCCATAATCTTAGGCCTCACAAGCACAAGACTTGACTCATCATCAGACCCAGATCAAGAATCACCAGACACACCAACCACGCGCGAGTCACGTGGCAGGATCATCTTCATCAACCCTTTGACACAGGGGATGGTGGTGATCGAGGGTAGTTCTTCGAGATTGGATTCTCTGCTTCGAGACCTACTGAGCAACGGTGGTCAACCACCAGCCTCCAAAGCATCCATTGAAGCCATGCCCAGTGTGGAAATCAGTGGGGAAGATGAAGGAGGTGAGTGTGTGATTTGCTTGGAGGACTGGGAGGTTGGTGAGGTGGTCAAAGAAATGCCCTGTAAACATAGATTTCATGGGGGGTGTATAGAGAAGTGGTTGGGGATTCATGGGTCTTGCCCTGTTTGTAGGTTTAAGATGCCTGTGGATCACGAAGAGGTGATCAACAAGAGTGCTGGTGATGGTGAGAGTGGTGGTGATGAGAGAGAAAGGAGGAGGAGAGAGATTTGGGTGAATTTTTCTTTCAACAGAGGTAGGAATGGGGAATCAAATCAGACACCTACTAGTGATTCTAATGACTCATCATCAAGTCCTCCTCCTGGATCTGATCATCAAATGGAGGGTTAGACCCCTTCTTGTCAGATTTGATTTTATTTTGGAATAATATGTACATAGAGGAAGACTCTTTTCTTTTCTATTTTTTTTTTTTTTTTTGTTTGTTTTAAGTTTTCCTTATCGAGGTTATGAATAAATTATACATTTCTGATGATTCCAAAGCCGTATTACCTCATTATTAATGTTGTGTTTGGTTGGGTGGTTTGTGAAGGGATTTAGAAAGAAAAAAGGAAAATGTGTGTGAAATTAGGTGAAATATATGTATATTTTATTTATATTTCACTTAATTTTTTCCTTTTCCTTTTCAAATTCCTTTTCAAATTCTCTAATCAAATACAGCGGAAAGGAAATTTTGGATTTGGAGATCACTCGAAGTTTTGAAATGTGGGTTTAATTTCAAGTCACTGATGCAAATTCTTCAAGTTGAGGGTTAGAGTTTGCCGTGGATTTTCAACTTTTCTTTTATGTTAGTTTTTGTGATGGAAAATCTCGTTGGACAAATATATATATATATATATATATTTATTTATTTGTTTTATGTATGAGTTATGGGAATTTAAATGTGAATTTAACTTGAGGTTTTGTTTGGGAATATGCTAATTTAGTAATTTTTTGATTATTTGAAACATGTTAATTTAGTAATTTTTTTATTATTTGGTTAAAATATGAGTTAAAAAAAATTAGTATGTTTTGAATGATTTTTTGGCTTTTTATAAAAAAATGTGTAAAAAGTAGAGTGAAAAGAGAATTTTTGACTTTTTGGTATGAGTTATTGATTTTTTGACTAATTTAATAATTTTTTAACTAAAAAACGAAGATTTCCAAACGAGGCCTGAGTTTTATTTGTGCAGAGAAGTTTGGGAATTTGTGCATCTTGATTTGAATGTTTATTTTTTGTTGGTCACTTCATTGTTAAAATTGATTAGTTGCTTGAGCGATTTTTTGTTTGAGTAATGTTACGTCGCTCGAAAATGGGCCTTTCGATTCCTCCTAAAGGCAAAAACGACTTTTTTTTTTTTTTTTTGTGAATCAGAAACGAAGAAGAAGAAGAAGAAGGGAAGGGAGAACTGGACAGGAGGGGGCATAAACCAGGGGCGGAGGCGAGGCGGAGGCTAAGCTGCTGCGACGATCGGTCGAGTTACTGCGACGGCCGAGCTTCTCTCTCTCTCTCTCTCTTTCTGTTTCCCTCTCTCCTCTCTTCTTTCTTTCTCTCCCTCTCTCTCTCTCGCCTTCACCCTCTTTTCCCTCTGTTTTCCTTTTCGGGGGATTCGGGGGGAGCTCATGCGAGCTCCCAAGCTTTATCCTTTTTGTTTTTGTTTGTCACTTCATTGTTAAAGTTGATTAACTGGTTGAGCGATTTTTAGGGTTGGTTTTTTAGGGTTGGTTTGGGAAGTGTGTTGGCTTTTTGATTTTTTTGATTTTTTTGGTTATTTTAGCCTTGGTTAAAAAGTTTGATTTGGGAAGAATTTTTTGATTTTTTGGTTTTTTTGACTTTTTTTTTGTGAGAGAAGAATGTAATGATTATGGGTTGGATGTGATGTTTTGTTTGTTGTGGCTAAAATAACTTATTTTGTCTTTTATGGCTAAAATAGTCAAAAAGCCCCACAACCTATCTTCCCAAACGGAGCCTTAGTGTGCTTGAATGGTGAATAGGAATGACAACGGGACGGGGTGGGGCCGGAGATCACCCTCCCCGTTCTCGATCTCCGATCGCAAAACTTTCCTCGTCTCCGGCCTCGATCCTCGACGGGGAATCCATTACCGCCCCCACCTCCGCCCCTTAACGGGGATTGGGTTTTTCCGAGCCCGAAAATCCCTGGCCATCAACAATCCACTTGAGCTCAAATACAACATCACCAACGAATCTTCAAAAGAAATTAGCTCCAGAAAAATAAAATAAAATAAAAAGATCACAACATCAACAGATCACAACACCAACACAACACCAACAGATCTTCAACACCAACAGATCATAACACACACAGATCTTCAACAATATCACCAACAGATCAAAAAAGAAACATAGATCATCATAAAAAAACAGATCATCATCAAAAAAGCAGATAAAAAAAGAAACGGATCATCATCATAGATCTCAAAAAAAAAAAAAAAACAGAAAAAAAAAATCAGATATCACAGATCTGAGCTGAGAAGGAGATCGGTAGAGTAGAGATACGCAGGAGGGCGGTGGAGGAAGATCGACGCTGTGCAGATCTGTGAAGATCGAAGCTTTCTCTCATTGCAAAATGGCGATCAGAACGTTGTGAGTGAGGGACTGAAATCGGTGAGATATAAGAGAGAGAGAGTGAGAGAGAGTAGAGGGAAGAGGGACGAGCGACGGCGGTGGTGAGTAAGGCGATGGTGAGGGAGAGCGAGCGAGCGAGCGGCGATGAGAAAGAGCAGAGAGAGAGAGACAGAGGCGATGTGTGTTTGTGTACGTGAATGAATCCATACATTGATCCCAACTAATTGAGGCACACATATGTATAGAGAGGATACAAACGTAATTTTACTTCGGGGGAGATACGGGGCCGGGGACGGGGCCGTAAAAGCTATCCCCGTCCACGACCCGAAATTGATCGGTGATTTAATTTTGAATATCATTCTCGGCCCATTGGGGATATTTTTCCGGAAAAAATCGCTCCTATCGGGGATTAGAGAGCGGGTCCCCGTCAGGCCGGGTTTAAATTGCCATCCCTAGGTGAAGTTTGTTTATCCACCATCTATGTTTACATTTTGAATTTTTAAAAGACATGTTTTATTATTCAAGTGGTAGATGTTGCTGAAGTGATTGACATATATGTGAGCAACGTCTTTAGTCGCATTGCTCGAGCGGTAAAGTGAGCACTTGAGCAGTCTTTCCGGCTCTTTTTAGTATAAAGTGCGATGTTTGTTATTTTTAGGGTTTAATCAGTTCATATTTCTTAGAAAGGAAGAAGAAATAAAGTTTTTCATATTTGAGTGTGTTTATATATGAGTTTCGTTGATGCATAGAAGGTGATTGATTGATCAATGAATTATCTATTGATAAACATTAAGGGTTGGTTTTATTTTTATTTTTTCACAAATAGAGATAGGTATTCATTAGTGGATTTTGAAAAACTTGAGTCTAAAATTTTGGTAGATTTTGAAGTGACTTATCATTTTGGATTTGATATTGGCGTTGTGGATTTAACATCAGGTAAAGCAATTCTAAGGTGAATATGGTGACAAATAGACATATCGAGTTCTTTTCAATTCGGCTGTCGATTCGCTAGGTAATTAAGGGTTCTAGTGTATAATTCTTTATTTGTCTTCTTAGTAGATTATTTTGTGATTTTAATTCGTGATTTTTTTTTTTATCACAATTGAAAGAGTCCAATTGTGATTTTTTTCATATTAAATCATTATATCGATATGTTGTTGATTATTTAATTAGGATTATTATTTATTATTTAAAATTAAATCATAATCACAAATTATTACCTTAGGAGTTTTTAGATTTTTTATTTTAAAATATCCTGTCACTATGTGATAAGGAGCCTAATGAGGTTTGACTTGAGAATAGATTATTTTAATAATTTTTTATAAAAGCATATATAGAAAAGTAGAAAAAAGTGATGTGATAATTTATAGTAATTCTTTTAACTTTTTAATAATTTATAGTAATTCTTTTAACATTTTAATTAAAATATATAGTTGACAAATAAAACCTGAGTATGTGACTCATAGGGGCTTAGCAGCATTGAGCATCTAATTAATTACTACTTTGTCAACCCCTCAACCACTAGCCCTTTAATGTAATCATTGTGAACTACTGAAACGGTTGCAATATTGCCATGATAGAAGTTCTCAAGTCCTTTTCATTGGACGTGTTGGGTCAGCTAGAGGAGTCATTGAATGAAACCCTGCAACTACTTGACAAAGTGTTTTTTACTTTGCACATCCAACGAACCGTTTGCTTAGTAATTCAAATTTCACTGAAGGGCTTCCAATGGGCTTGTTTCGTTCAATGGTTATCCCAGTTGCATTGGGACTTGAAGGTTGGATTTGTGCCTCAACCCCGATCTTGAAATCATTTAGAATGCAATAGCAGCAGTTTGGAGGAGTCTGCTTGGTGAGTTTGTGGCCAAGGCCGTGAGGGCGGGCGGGCCTGGGTAAGGGCTGGTTTGAGTCTATTTCCAGCCCTTTGGGACTTGGAAGTTTTGATTGTTGCTTGGAGGATTCAATTAATGCCTCCTCGTGAAGCACTGGACTGCCAAATGCCATTCATGATGTATATATCACAATGCTTCTTAGCTGGATCAATTAATAGGAGCACTAATAATAACATGAGTGGAGTCGTCTCGTCTTACTTTGAATAATAATTTTTATGCTACAATGGTTGGTCTCAGTTTGGGAAGGGAGTGTTGCTCGATGATGAATGAGAGAAATGGTTTAGAACTCTATGATAGTATTTAATAATTTGTGGATGGCTAGAATTTATTGGGATTCAATTAATGCCTCCTCGTGAAGCACTGGACTGCCAAATGCCATTCATAATGTATATATCACATTGCTTCTTAGCTGGATCAATTAATAGGAGCACTAATAATAACATGAGTGGAGTCGTCTCGTCTTACTTTGAATAATAATTTTTATGCTACAATGGTTGGTCTCAGTTTGGGATGGGAGTGTTGCTCGATGATGAATGAGAGAAATGGTTTAGAACTCTATGATAGTATTGAATAATTTGTGGATGGCTAGAATTTATTGAAAAAGCCTTGTAGCCATTTCGTAAAAGGTGCTATGCTTCAAGAATTGGTGCAGCCAAGAAGTATCTGTGCATTTGCTTTCTTGCCTTTACTATGGCTGAACATTCTCATATTTATGAAGACTTCCTGGATTTATGGCCACAGAATACAGCTGAGATTTCTCTTCTTCCAAATTCTTCCAATGAACTTTCACATTTTTTCACTCAGTCTAGTAGTGCTGATTTAGTAGATCTAATTTTATGCAAGGGTTGAAGAATGAAACCTATATGCATAATTGATATCATAGTATTATCTATACAGAGATTTTACTAATAGGGTTGAGCAACGCCTTGTATGAGAGTAGACTAGGCTATTTTTATATTGTTAACTCTTTTTTCATCATGAAATCTAAGTGATATGCACCTTATCGAACCAAACAACAAATTCGGTTTTCCAAATAAAAAACAATTGGATTCACAACGCATGAAATTCTAACACTACACACTTCAGATGTTCCTAACTGAAACCATGAAAAAGATAACAGAGTCCTGTCTTGGGGAGGCCATCTTTTGGTGTCTAGTCTTCTAGGTCGATTATGGTGTAAAAACTACCTAGACTTTGATAGCACCACTTCCCTCACCATAAACTTCATTAGCTAGCATAGAGCCAACACTAGGGTGGATCCTCCCAGCATTCTTCCTCTGTTTCTTTCATAGTACAATCCTTGCACACGAATCATCGTGCAACTGATGAATTTCATTGGTCGAAAATCAATCACTGATTTAAAAAGAGATTTTATTTTTCCTACTAGAAGCACCTAGTATCCATCCGTTGAACAGTGCTTGGGTGCTCTGCTGCTGACAGCTTCCCTCCTTGAGACTTTACATCAGAAGTCATCCAAGTACGTATTTTCCGACAATATTCAAAGCCTACAACTATAAATGCTATATCAAAGAATAACCACATATGGTTCGTGTATCTGCTGTTTCTGTTGCAATGGCTTTTACAGAGGAACATATTATTTGTTAAGCTGTGTGGATTATGCAATTATTCTCTGAGTCAGCTATGTAATTATGCCCACCAGGCACATGTTTTAGCTAATGATTCTTTGTTTCTTGTTGGGTATTTAACTGATTTTTTCTTGCAATATTGTTTAATCAATGAACTTTATCAGATTCAAGAATAATTTCCCAGAGACTTGGCTATTCCGAAATGGAATACTGGGGTGAGTTTGTGTGTCTCAGGGGGAGAGTACACAAGTATATTATTACCTTTCAATATGGATTTACTTGTGGGAAGTGACTTGGGATCCATACACAACAATATACATAATTTTTTATAAGCAAATATAAGCAATGCATTATATTTGTATATATTACTTAATCTCATCTGATATCAATGCCTCAAAGCACTGAATGTCATTTGAATTATTACCTTCTCAGTTCAAGTCTATGGCTTTTGGACCTGAATCAAAGTCGGTCAGATATTGGATGTTCAGATCAAAGGTCTCCATTAATCCAAACCTTGTCAATTGATCACCAGTTTTGTGTGAGTGTTTACCCGAAGGTTGTTCTGCCCAATCACCATCAGAAATGGTGCTCTCACTTCTCTTCCTTCCGCTTATTTGATTGCTTGGTACACCCTTTTCCTTCGGCCTTGGATTCTTATCCGTTAGTGACAGTACAACTGAATTGGCATCTCCTCCACTCATGCTTGGATTTCTTCTCTTCCTTTTGCCCCGAGCTCTCAGATGATGTGAAGGAGCTTTCCAGTGAACATCCTGTGCCTCCCATTGGACTCTTTTCTGAATATTTTGAGCTCGAGCATCTAATATCTTTTTGTACCGATAACGAAGAACTCAGGCATCCATTGTCAACCATTGAAACCAACTGATATAATTCAGCTTTTGCAAGTTCCACTCCAACTGAAGAAGAATCATACCCAGATAGTGTTTCTTGTGCTTTCTTTAGTACTGACTGTAAATACTTTCCTTGAGCCTCAATTCGCAGCTGCAAATGTCTTTGCACCTGGGGAAAAAAAAAAAAAAAAAAAAATTTGTTGCTTGATTGGAACAAAAAGAAATGGAAAAAAGTTAAGACATTCTATTGAGTTTGACCTCAATTTGTTCATGAAGTTTCCTCTGCACATCCATTTGCATTTGTAGAGCCCGAGCCATCGGCATACTTCTGTCAAACACAAACCCTTAATCAGCAGATGCCTTTTTCGTGTTACAATTTGTATCATAATTCACCGAACACCATAGCTAAATTGTGACTATTATTACCCATTATTCTGATTCTGGGTTGCATCACCAACTTCCCCACTGAAATGATCATCTCTTCTCTGATTCAATTTGTCGTCTGCAGCAAAGAAATCTGTAATCAATACCCATCACAACTGTCATGACCTAATGATTTCGTAATCTAATCCCTTATGATAGCCAAGGATCCTCTGTCCCAAATTGCTCTGTCCCTCATCTCAAAATTACTTACAACCGTTAGATCATGAGAAACTTTTCGAAACATAATCTAACGTTTGTGAATGTCTCAAATTATTTACAACCGTTAGATCATGAGAAACTTTTTGATTCATAATCTAACGTTTATGAGTGTCTCAAATTACTTACAACCGTTAGATCTTGAGAAATTTTGCGATTCATAATCTAACGTTTATGAGTGTTTTGAGATAGGAGACAGAAGATTTCATGGTTCCCATTATACTCACCTTCTTGCTTATTGTCATGATAGGTCTCTGATTGTTGACTTTTCCCCAGCCTATATTTCTGCAACAAAGAACACCAACATACTTTGATAACAAAGATTGTTAAGTTCATTGGTAGACCAGAAAGAAGAAAGATACTAACAAAGAAGTGCCTGTAAATTACTCTATCCCAATAATGGATTCATAAAGAAGAGATAGGGCTTTCATCAAGGTTTTAGGTGTTGCATCTGTCAATACATAAACATCAATGGCATTAGAACATAAAAGGGCCATATATTGAATGACAAAAATAATAAATAATAAATAAATGGAGTGATCATGGAGCTTGTAAACATTACTGTCTGCTCCTCCAAGCTGAGTGACTGCAACGACGAATTGGTGGTGAAGTTGTGGAGTCCATTTTAGCCTTGGCTTTGTATCACTGGATAAATTCAAGTTGGTGTCTTGGTTTTGCATATGTTGATGACCCATTTCTGTTCTATGGATTTGCATATCAATGGATAAATCATAAATATATGTGCTTTTGATCCTTCCAGCTCTGCTTCAATATATTGGCATCTGGATTCTCTTTATAATTTGGAGTTGTTGGGATGTGGCACACGCGATACGTGTATCGTTTAGATAACAAATAATAAAAATAAATAATAAAAAACTTAATATCATAATATGTATGTTACTTAAGTGATGAATATGTTATTAATAAAATCTAAGATTTTGAGTTCAAAACTTGCATACGATATGTATAATAATTTTTTTTTTTAAAATTTTAGTATATATAAAGTTGTCACGTGACATGAACAGAAAAAAGTTTAAACTTTCACTTAATAATAATATAGATAAATACATATTCTCACTCCATATCTGGAAACATAAGTGGGGTTATGTTGGGGGAATATATGCCATTAGTTGTGTCTCTTTCCTTTCTCATATTTCCCTCAACTTTCTTTTCTTCCGAGTTTTTTTCATTTTTCTTCTTCTTTTCGTTTTTGTTTTTTTGACTTGGCAGTGGTGGAAAGAATCTTTATCTCAAATTTCTTCTTCCGTCTCTCAAAACATTCATAATTATTGAATTATGAAAAAAAAAATCAAAACACAAAGATCTTGAAATATAATTCAATAGTTGTGAGTATTATGGATAGAGAAATTTAAGACAAAAAATCTCATGTTTAGAAGTCTATTTCTATTTGGTGCACTATCTTACAAACTCCAAATTGACAATTTGAAACCAAAAATTAGGACATCTTTCATTGCTTTTCAATAATTAATTTTTATCAATTTATATATTAAGTTATTTATATCTCATAAAGGGTGTTTTTATTTGGACGGACTGGATAAGAGGGGATTGTAATCCATCCGACTATTAGTCTTGAGATACATTGTTCCCGGACTATTTGGTTGGACTGGATTTGTATCCTATGTTTGTTTAGTCATGAGATTAGATGTCTGGATTAGACTATTTTTAATGAATCTAATGTTTGTTTGGGATATTATGGAGAAGGATAAATGCTCCAATGACTATTTTATCTTTTTCAATTATTTACTAAGTAATAACAATATTAAACATAGCTTTAATGTTTTAATTATTTTTAGCTAGATTAAATAAAAATTTATTTTATTTTATTTTTTGCGCAATTAAATCAATTTATTTTTAAAAAATTAAATAAATTAAGTATCAATAAAAATATATGTTATTTTTTACTTAAAATTTTAAATAAATTTATTTTAAATAATAATAATAATTAAATAATAAAATAAAATAAAACATTTAGTGAAATTTAAATAATGAAATTAAATAAAATATAAACAAAATTTTAAAATAAAACATCACTAAAATATCTATAAAAAATTAAATAAATAAAAAATTAATAAAATTATTTTATTTTTAAGTCGAGACATTTAAATTTTATTGAATTTTACTAAATATAATACATAATTAAATACCACATGGTAAAAATGTAATTTTATTAGTTAATCTTATGGGATGAGTTATCCCATAGTTTCTATCCCACCCCGCATGGAATATCACAGTCCCACAAATATGAGATTAATAGTCTGGAGGGATTATTAGTCCGGAACAAAACTTTTGAAACAAATAACTGACTATTAATCTATCCGAATTAATAATTCAATCCCATACCCAAGCATTCCAAAACAAACACCCCCCAAATTGTAAAAAACAATTATGCTCTACGCACTCATACAATTTTTCAAAGTAAAATAAATAAATAAATAAATTATAGTTGAATGTCTCAAAAGGAGAGAAGGGGAAAAGTGTGTGGTTTGTTTCTATGATGCTGTTTTACTCTCTCTCTCTCTCTTGCTGGATGATTCCCTGCTGAATTAGGTAGCCCCACCATGGTGAATAATGTTTGCTACTTTTCTAGAACTATAAGAAAATTTGAACAGGAAAATTAAAAAAATAAAAAATAAAAAATGAATGGGATTGCTTTAATGGATATTTCTGTATAGTGGCTGAATGGGAAAACAACACGTCTTTCTGTCTTTAAGATTTTCCTTTTACTTTTTTTTTTATTATTTATTTATTGTGAGAAGGGTGTGGTTGGATTGGCTGATTCTTTTTATTCTTTGTAGGGATGGAGGAATCAAAGAAAATGGCCTAAGATTTTGAGACAAACTTTGCCCTATTTTATGTTATCAACAAAACTTCTATAATCAGTCATGCAAATTGGCCATTTATCCACAACTAGCCTTCGTTTGGCAATAAATTTTTTAATTGACTTTTTTAACTTGAAATTTTTTTTATTCGTTTGGTATTCTTAATTGACTTTTTTAACTTTTTAGTTTTGAAATGATAGATGTTTTTTGTCCTTTTGTAATTTTTGACTTTTTGTGATTTTTTGACTTTTTGTGATTTTTTTAGCCCAACTCAAAAACTAAACAACCCCTTCAACTTGAAAAGTTCATGTAATGAGGCACTTGTTTTACATGTAAGGTCTATGAAGCTCAATGCCCCGATAATGTCCATCCAATTTTGTTCACATACTTTGACAAATTATATGAACAAAATACTTATAATTAGTTCTGAATAGTAAAATTTAAAACTTTAGATGAAAAATATGATTTTGTCCGTGAACAAATCCATTCTCACAATCATTCTTATGAATTATTATGTATTTGATTTTGTTTTTTGTTCTAAAAAATAAAAAAACAGAAATCGACGCGAAAAATTTACTCGACAAACTCTTTTTGAGAATTTGTATATATATATATTTGAAAACACCTTTTTCTAAGTAACAATTTAAACTTGTTCTCTGGGCTTTCAAATTGTAATTTTGCACAAAATAAACATTTAACTACAAAAAAAAAAAAAAAACCAATGTTTTGAACTTTTATTTTTTTAAGTTTTGTTTTCTTATTCCCAATTAAGTGTAAAACAACAAAATTGAAAAATAAAAAATAAAAAATTATAACTAACAGAGCCAAAAGTTTGGTTTATAAGATCCATCCAAACCAGTGAAAGGTGATTGAACATGTGATGGCCAGTCCTGCATTTGTTTTCTGCCAGTGAATGAAGACGATGAAACTAAACACATGTCGTTGCCGTAAAATTACAGAAACTACATCTGAAATTGATCTGGAAAATCTATGGAAGTTGTGTGGTACAATAATAGAATAGAAACCAATATACAATGCAAATAAAGAGTGAAGATTTCTATGAAGCGCATACACAGACACAGTGTGAAAGTGAAGTATACGGAATGACAAAAAGTTGTACATATAAATAGTTTATGGCTCTTTGCTTTCTTCTGATATATGAAAGGAATCCATAGGACCCCACTCTGCATACAAGTCATGCAATAAACATATTCCAAAGGGGACATCTTTTATATTTCTGTGATCCACTTCAACAAAAAAGCACTGAAGAACAAAATTCAGAGAGAGAGAGAGAGAGAGAGAGAGAGAGAGAAAGTAATGGCAACTAATAAATTGTTTAAGTACATTCAATCCAGATTGTTGATCTTTGCTGGAATCAAAATCCATTGATTGATTTCCAAAGCATTGCCATCTAAGTGCCACGCATTCAAAAAAACAGAAGAAAGAATCGGGATTTTAAAGTGAAAAAGATCAGATGCTAACTAAGTACAAAGTTAAAGAAAAAATCAAAGAGGACACTAGTAGAACTAATAAACAAACTAAAGATTAAATGCCTTCATGTAAGTGTGTCTACTTTCATCTCTTTTAGTGTCAAAGAGTCTAACCCATAGTTTTAAATACCAGTCGATACACTACATATCGGCCGATACGTATCGGAAAAATAGAGTATCGCAACGGATACAAGCCGGTATATCACTGAAATTAAAAATCGCAGGAGGATCGGCCGAGTCCCGGTACATATCAGTCTGTAACTGTTACACAAGCCGCGACGGGCCGATACTCACCGGTTTAGACCAGCACGGGAAAGAAAAAGCTGAAAAACCTGTGAAATGATTTTTAAAATTTCACCGCTGCAACACCCGATTCCCGATACATAGTGATCGATACCGATACTTCGCGATCGATACCGTTACGTTATCCGATACCGTGATTTAGAACCTTGGTCTGACCACGTTTTTTTAATCATTAACTGGAGGGGAATTGGTGACAGAAAATTTGTATCATATACCAATCGATACTATCGATACCGATACTCCGCGATTGATACCGTTACGTTACCCGATACCGTGATTTAGAACCTTGGTCTAACCATTTTTTTTAATCATTAACTGGAGGGGAATTGGTGATGGAAAATTTGTCTCATATAGCAGTAAAACTTAATCAAGATATCACACTTGATAAAAGAGTTTAGGGAAATTTTCCTTTATATGTGCATATTATGCAATCCTATTATGAAATTACGTAAGTTTTCACAAATTTATAAAATGATTTCACAAAAATACTTGAGTTGTATGCAAATTCGCACAAGTCTTAAATTTTTACTTACGTTAAGTTGTGCTCAATTTACGTATTTTTGTAAGATCAATTTACTAATTATTTTAACATAACAAAATTCTTATATATGTTCACACGGTAATAAGTTTGGAATTAAACGTTCGTTGGAGCTAAGGAACTGCCTGATGCAATGATGCTTCTAATTGATAAAATAGATAAAATGAAAAAGATCACAGATCCTATATGAAATATATATTTTTCAAAAAAA